TTCCCGTCTATCTTCCTCTCTCTTGCGGCTCGCCAATCAAACCGTTTCAGTTTGTTTGTTGTTGCTGCTTAATTCAGGTCTCCTGAGAACCATCTGCCCGGTACCATCATGTTTACAGCCAAGCCATTCTGGCGTTGAACAAAGTATAGGATCTGTAGGAGCAGGTGATTGTTTTCGCTTCCTTTCCACGTCACGTGCTTGAGAATGGTGGCAGTCTTTTTGTTCTCCGGTTTTGTTTTTAGAGATTTTTTTAAAGAGATTCCCAAAGACTCTGGTTTTTTAAATAAACAAATATCGTGGGGGAGGGGAGCGGGGTCGGGGGGAGGCCGGGGTTGAAGATGGTATGGATCTCAGTAAAATTTATGCTTTCATCGTCTTTCCTTCTGGATTTTGCTAGGTTGGGTTAAAAATAGCCATGTGAGTTTTTTCAGTCTGCCTCAGTGTCTTCCACAGAAATAATGGCAAGCAATGAAAAATGGAAATGAGCAACATGGCAAAGCCATTTCCCCAAGGGCTCAGCTCAAAAGCAAAAGGGGACAAAGGTACCTGGGGCTGGGTTGTAGGGTACCCGTAATTAGCATATTCAACATCAGGGAGGTGTCAAGGGGTCTGAATTAATGAGCCCCTTGGTCAGCCACTCAGGTGATGGTCTCGGAGTCAGAGTGCACAGAGTGAACTCACAAAAGTGAGGCCCATGGTCAGGCAAAGGATTCTGAAATTCCTCTTTTCACACTGTAGCTCAGGCTGGCCTGGAACTCATGGCAATTCTCCTGTCTCAGCTTCCTAAGTGCTTGAGATTCTAGATGTGAGCTACTATACCTGGCTGGGTTCTGACAAAAAAAAAAAAAAAAAGAAAATCAAGCTTATCATCCCAGTCAAAAGGCAAACTGCACACGTCAGAGAATTCCTGCCTCAGAGGGTAGAGACCTGAGCTATTGGAAACTAATACACTGGACTGGACTGGATCGGTCCAGAATGCCATCGATAATAAAAGTCATTCCCCCAACAACTCCCACTGAAGCGACTTTTGATCTGACACTGCCCTGGTGGTCTGTGGAAAATCTCCCACAAGCCCTGCTCTCGGCTCACTTTAGTCATGTGAGCCTGACCATGCACACCCTGGCTGAAAAGAGACTGACCCTGTGTTCTGAGCACTTCAAAGATGGCTCTTCAAAACGCATGCAAACATCGTGTGCTGTGTCTAACTGCATCTGGCCACGTTTTGATGTGAAAAGAATAGTGTATATTTCTTAGCAGGTAGATGGCAGCCTTTCTTGAGGCAAGAGACTGTATTATGTTTATCTTATGGGCATCTCCATTCCTGAGCGTGGCAGTTGGAGAGCTATAAATTTACAATCCAATCTAGGGGCTGGAGAGGATTCTGCAGGGAAGAATTCTTGCGCAGGACCCAAGTTCGGTTCCCAGCAATAACACTGGATATCTTCCAGCTGCTATGACTCCAGCCTCCAGGACATCTTACACCTCTGATTTCCACACCTGCAAACCCACATGTAGACACACATGGACAATTATAAATAACAAAAATAAATCTTTAACATCCAACTGAAGGTAGCTGAATTCCCGCAGAAGAGTTTTTTGAGCCTGGGGAAAAGGAATGGGTCCAGGGAGTGCATCTGTGATGGAAAAAGAGAGTCAGCTGGTGCTTTTGAAGAGAACAGATCCATTTCCCGTCCACATTTCTCCTTCTGCAGTAGTGCAACTCTGGGCCCAGACCACCTTTCTAGAAAAAAATGTCGGTCTCTCGGGGTCCTAAGAGGTATTCATTGTCTATCTTCATGCAGGGAAGCAATGGACTCTCACTCTGTCTGTCTGTCTCTGTCTGTCTCTCTGTCTGTTTGTCTCTGTGTGTGTGTGTCTTTGTCTCTCTCTCTCTCTCTCTCTCTCTCTCTCTCTCTCTCTCTCTCTCTCTCTATCTGTCTCCCTTCCTCCCTCCCTCCCTCCCTCTCTCTTCTGACCTTCCCTAGGCTTCCCTGTGTCTCCGAACCGCACATGATCTTCCTTAGGACGTGAACACCAGCAACTGTCTCTTCCCTTTGGTTTCAGTCGGCTAGTCTGACTGAACGCACAACTAGCAAAAATACCTGGGGCTTGGCTGCTGGCAAGATATCTATTTCTGAGTGACACAGACCACGCCCTTCGCCCCAGGGGCTCTTGGGAAATTTATCCACACACCCATGCCAGCATGTTCATCCAGCCAGGAGGACCTCAGCCAGGACCTTCCCATATATATGTCCACAGCTCTGGTCCCCTGCTTGCTCCCTTTGGTCAGGGGGAGAGCCAAAAAAATTTACTGTTTTAGAAAAGGAAGTAGAGTTATAGGCAAGCACCTGCCTGTAATCACAGCACTTGCGGCATGGCAGCAGGAGGGTCTCAAGTTCAAGGCCAGCATGAGCTACATAGCAAGACTGTGTCTCAAAAATAAGTAAATCAACAAACAAAAACTAAGTTGAAAAGTGATGTTGTGTATCAGCCCAGAATTTCTGGCTTAAATGTGAAAGAAAGCATTAATACCATACATAGACTCCCTTCCTTGGCCAATAAATAAGTTAGTTTCTTTTGGTGTTGTTTAGTAGCAAGTGGATTAGGAGAAATTGCCAGATACCTACCATCTGTTCTAAACCACAGGCAGAAAAAAAAAAAAAAAACCTCCTGCCTGGGGCCTGGCTGCAGAAAGGGAGCCATTTCCACAGTCAATGGGCACAAATATGAACTCCAGGGTGGCTTTATAGAACTTTAAGTGCAAACAATGGGGTCTTCTTTGAGGGTCCTCCCAGCTCTATCACGGACTACCTTAGGGGCCGGTGAGATGGCTCAGTAGATAGAGGCATCTGCTGCCAAGGCTGAGGACCTGAGTTCAATCCCCGGGACCCACATGATGGAAGGAGAGCTGACTCCCACAGACTCTCCTCTAACACCCACCTGCATGCCATGGCACACATGTGCCCCCACCCCGTCATTAAATAAATATATAAACGACGTGTAAGGGCCAGCAAGATGGTTCCGCAGGTAAAAGCCCTTGCCAAGAAGAATGATGACCTGGGTTTGATTTCCAAGACTCACGTGCTAAGAGAGAACCAATTCCTACAAGCCATCCTCTGATCTCCACAATTGTGCCATGGCACGTGCACACACACACACACACACACACACACACACACACACACACACACGCAAATCAATTTAATTTAATTTAAAAGATTATAATAAGGGCACCTCAGGGCTATCTTGTGATAACACTTGCATCAGCCTTAACCAAACTCTGGCTCAGGTCCCCCTCCAAGAGGGCACCAGGGTAGCCGTTTCCTGGCCAACACAGGTCATGTCCCAACCCTTGTCGGCCCTCTGTTTCCCCAGACCACCACATGATTCCCAGGCTTCAGAATCCATTTTAAAGAACTCCCACCATCCCTTGGCCTCAGCATGAGATCTCTCTTGAGGATCTGTGAAGCCTCTCACTGGGCCCTGGGTTAGAACTTGGCCTCTTCCTCAATACAAAGTCATCCCAATCCCAGGCTTAGTCTCGTTTGGATTTCTTGTTTGGCTATGGTGCTGCTGCTCAAAGCATTCTCTTGATCACTGCAAACACTAAAGACTACTAAAAGCTGTATAACTATCTTCTCTTAAGCTCATCTGTTTTCAGTCTATCTGCATCCCTATCTGTGGAAGGAACCCTGCCGCATTTTCCGGGGACCCCCGTGTCCATATGGAACCTGTAAAGGACCAGAGGCAGTAAAAGGCTCCTTGGCATGTTCACACCTGCACAGACTTGGCTGGCAGCAGAGGATGCCACATTCACAGCCAAACAGCAGCTGGCTGACGGTAGGCATTGCCATGTTTCCAGCCATACAACCCCTGGCTGGTGCTTGGTAAGCAGCAAACATTCCTCAAGTCTTGAATGGGGACCAAGTCCCCCATTATGTCTGAGGTCGGGTACCAGCCAGCAGCTTCTCTCTTTATTAATGCACTCCAACATTCTCAGTCTTAGATGAGTTTACTCCTTCCTCATGAAAAGGTTGTTTACACTCAATGGCCCCATCCTGGCCCCTTAATACATACTACTTCTTCTCTGCCAGTCTTGTTTTGTTTTGTTTTGTTTTTTGAGACAGGGTTTCTCTGTGTAGCTTTGCATCTTTTTTGGAACTCACTCTGTAGCCCAGGCTGGCCTTGAACTCACAGAGATCTGCCTGCCTCTGTCTCCTAAGTGCTGGGATTAAAGGCATGCGCCGCCGCCGCAGCAGCAGCAGCCGCCGCCGCCGCCACCACCACCACCACCACCACGACCACCACCACCACCCGGCCTCTGCCAGTCTTATAAAGGTCCCATGGCAAAATGGTAAGTGTTCAAGTGTGTTAAGTAATGAATAATATAATGAACCACGCGGCAGTGTAAGACCCATGTCTGAGCATGGAACACTTTGCAGATATGGCGTAAATTCAGATTAACCTACACTGAAGAGTGGTGTCCACAAATCCTACCCAATGTGATAACTGGCTCCTCCTGTAAAGAAGACATCTCTGCCCTTTTAGCCTGGGTATCTCTGACCGGTAGATTAAGGTAACAGTGACCCAATACCAGTTCTGAGAACAAGCCTGAAAAGGAAGGGTGGTATCTGCTTTTTTCCCTCTTGGAGTCCTGAGCCACCATGTCATGACAAGACCCCACAATGCTGATGAAGACAGAGACCATGCTGAATCACTAAAGTGCCAGCTATCTACATCGGGTCAGCGTGGGTAGCTCTGCCTCCATCCATTTGAGCCCTTCCATCTGAGGCCCCAAACATGCTGGGACAGAGTTGAGCTGCCTCATCCAAACAGCAAACATTAAGGAGAAAAAATAGCATAGTTGTCGGTCACTAAGTTTGGGGGCGAGTTGTTCTTCAGCACAAGGTACGCAACACCAGCTGAAGTCCACATTGATAAAAGAGTTCAACTTCTGGATTAGGAAAAGCCTTTCTATACAAAGACTGAAGACAGGGATGCTGATATAAACAAATCCTGTATTTCTGTTCTTCCCATAACAGGAGACAAAGGCTCCCCAGCATTGCCTCCACAGCTCAGAACTCAGGTTTTTGCACTTCTCTTGGTTTTTCCTCACGTCACTGGTACAGTAGCCCAGCACCAGTCACTCACATCCCAGGCACCTGGAAGGAAGATGAAGCACAGCCCTTATCAGAAAAGCACAATGTTCTAGAAATGTCCTTCAGGGATTCCTATTTTGATCTGTTTGCTGGGCCACTCATGAAAGAAAGAAAGAAAGAAAGAAAGAAAGAAAGAAAGAAAGAAAGAGAGAGAGAGAGAGAGAGAGAGAGAGAGAGAGAGAGGGAGGGAGG